TGTACGCGGATCACGTGAGATTTCACCCGTGTCATCCCTATATAGAGCGTCTACCGACGCTCTGATACACACAATGGAACCCACTTATTACTGGGTCACCAGAGATCTATTTAGTGGACAGTACTCGTGCATGAGAGTATCCTTATCTCAAGTTTGTATATACCTCAGCAAAAGTATATACAAGTGTCCTCTAGTACCCCCTCCCATTCCATGCAGTGTTGGGATGATTTTCAACATGCCTATAGTGTGTCACTTGTCTGATGCAATTTTGCAAATGCATTACTGTTCCAATACAGAATGTATGCAAGGAACTGGACGCAGTAGCCGAGCTGGTGAAAGACAATTCTAAGATTATACCAGCAGTGAACTGAGGACAAAATGACTTACTGCATACAGTATGAGTGTGAAAATGTTTTTTACCAAACTGAAATGATGACATTGTACAATGTAAAGCCTAGATGGTTGATGTTGCAAAATAATTGCATCCATCTTGTTGCAGCTATGTGGTTGCCAAGGCTAGAATCAGTACTCCGATGAGAACAAAGAGAGCTAGGTGAATGCTTTTGGTTAGAATTAGTACTCCGATGAGAACAAAGAGAGCTAGGTGAAGGCTTTTGATTCTCTTTTTATCTCTATCTTGTTGCACGGTAAACGCAGCAACCTGCGACGACAGCTCTGAATTCTCGCGACAAATTTCCTCCAAACTGCTCCTATAGAGAGCAATATGCTCCCAATTGCCTCTCCCGGCCTCAAGTAACAGTTGCGCATGGATCGCCGCACTCGTCTTGATATGGGTGGCCAGCTCAAATCTCAGGAGATCTTCCTGACAACCGACTGGTCTGAATGGACATGGGACGGGAGGCAAGATGCACTCGTTGTCAATGTGGAAATGGAGTTCGTAGTTCAAATAGTTGGTAACAGTGGGGGCACGGACAGGGGTAGCACGGACACTCGTCCAAGTGGCTGTTGACAATGTAGTCGTAGTTTCTCTGGATGTGGCAGTGAGGACAGGAATAGCTTCGTTTGGGACAGTCCGACTCTTGGTGTTATTGGAGGAGACTGGATCGCTTCATCGCTTCACGCACAAACTGCATGTGACGTTAACAAATAGACAGCCTTCTTGGTTCTGATTGGGGTTCAGGTGGCTGCCCAGCTGTCCCAGCTCTCCAGTCCACTGGCACCCTCTCTCTCCTTCGCCACATGACCTGTGGACAAGAAAGGTGGGAGAAGATTGGAGGTAAACAAAGGTGGGAGTGAGATAGGGGGAGGAACAAGAAGAAAGTTTGGAGCGAAATATAACGGGAAAGAAAGAATCCTTTCTCTCCCTCGAATACCTGTGCACGCAGTAGACACGGAACCCGGCGAGAATGCGGCGAAAGTTCTGATCCGTAAACACGCGAGGTGCGCGCGCGTTGCACATCGGGCAGCGGTCGTCGCTGTCTCCCAGGGCCCTCTGCAAGCAGCCGGTGCAGAAGACTCGGCCGCAGCACTCGATCTGGGAAGGCTGCCTCAGGACCAGCAGGCATATCGGACACTCCGTGTCGATACCTTCGGGAGGCGTCTCCACGAACGAACACTCGTATCCCTCGGCGGCTTCTTCACCAGCGGCCATGGTTTCGCATGCGTAAAAATAATCATTTTAGGGCAGGGGTGTATATGATAATGCAAACCGTGTACAAAGAACGATCTGTATAGAAACATTGCTTAGAACAATGATCGGTATAGAACAAAACACAAACATTGCTTAGAACAATGATCGGTATAGAAAAACTGACACAAACACTGCAGCAACTGCAACTATAGCCAACAACACAAACTGTTGCAGACGTACGACGACTCTCTCTTTCACCAGCTTCAAATGGGTTACTTGTGAATTCACCATGTGATTCGCCATGTTCTTTCTCAGAATTTCACCTTCGCAGCCAAACAGCCCGTACTCACAGAGCGTGGGTACTTCGGGACAAGTTTGCGACACGTGAGAATTCATATCACTTTTCTTTATCCTGTTTCAGCAGAACTGGCAAGGGACGGGGACATGAAGGCAAGTCTGCTTGTGTTCTCCGCTAACGTTAACGTACGTGTTCACATAGTTGCAATACTGGCATTTCGCCTTTCGTTGGGGACAAATCGACTTTTCGTGTTGGTCGAGGATCGAGCGTGCCACTTTTTCTTGACAAAAGCTACACTTTACGGGGACAAAGGCACACCCAGTCATTCTATTGGTGTCAACAGGCTTGGAATTCAGGTGTTGATCAACTCCCCCCAGTTGGCCTATCCACTCGCATCCACCGCCACCCTCCCGCCTATAACAACAATACACTCTGAAGCCTTCCACGATCCGTTTGTGATTTCTATCCGAAAACCCTCCCGTGAGAGAATTCCTCATTCCTGAACGCACATGAGGTTTTAAGAGAGAGATAGGGGGATAAAAGAAAGCTTATAGCAGAGAGATAGGGGGAAAAAGAAAGTTTATGGCAGCGAGATAGGGGAAAAAAGTAAAAGTTTGCACAATGGGACATTACCTCTCTCCCTTACCTCAGATATGTGGAGAGGAATACGTAGTGTGGGGAGTGTCTGTGCCCCAGACTTCCGTCCTCCCGACCTCTCCTACTCCTGACCTCCGCTCTAAGAGTGGGCGTGGCTGCAAGTGGGCGTGGCATCCTTGGACACATCTCCGTCGACTTTGTTACCTTCATCAACCCCACAACTGTAAGTACTAGCATGGAAACTTACTCCTGTTCCATTGGTGTCCTGATAGAGAATTCCATTTCTCAGTTGGTGCAGGAGTTGTGGGCTGTGGACCTTGACATCGGCTACAGCAACCATCTGGCACTGCTGAGGTTGCTATGCTACGTCACCGGGGCAACCGTGGATCCTCGCAGTGGTCAGCTGGTGGTAGACGGTGGTCCTCGTTTCGCGGTCTTGTCCCCCCGGGTGTACCATTCCAGTCTTCCAGTGGTGCACTATCCCGTGTTCTTCCAAATGTGCAAAGCTAACCACATTGGATACGATGCCATGGTAACGTGACTCAATCACGAGTGTCATGTGACATCACGTGGTGTAACTACAGTGTCATGTGACAGTCACATGATCTATCTCTCTACAGGAGAAGGTTGGAACATTGTTTGCTCTATTTGACAGGGAACATAAGGAAAACATTGGACTCATGTGAGGAAACAGTGTATATTATATAACAGGCTAAAGCATTCGTGTGTATTGTAAATATTAGCCATTATGTACTGCCACAAGTCCTACAAATATGCATTTCTCTCTCTCAGTTGTCTGCAGTCCAGTCTGTCGTCAGCTCTGACTGCCTGCTCCAACACTCTCTCCACTCTTCATCACGAACTGTCCACTCCAAACATACAGGGCTCCTCCAACTTCAAGGTAGCTACCATTTGATAAGTACACGCAATGTGACCTACTTATTACTGGACCCAGAGATATGCCTTTAGCAGTGGACACTACTCATATAAGAGGTATCCTTTATTCAGAAGTATCTCAAGTTTGTACCTTAGCAAAAGTACAAGTGTCCTTTATGCTGTTTGTTTCCATTCCATGCTGTGTTTGGACTTGTGTGACTTGTCTGATGCAGTTTTGCAAATGTGTTACTGTTCCAATACAGAATGTATGCAAGGAACTGGACACAGTAGCCGAGCTGGTGAAAGACAATTCACCAGCAGTGAACTGAGAACAAAATGACTTCATTCACTTACTGCATACAGTATGAGTGTGAAAATGTTTTTTTATATACCAAACTGAAATGATGACATTGTACAATGTAAAGCCTAGATGGTTGACATTAGCACCATCTTGTTGAAGCGGTTGCCAAGGCTGTTATCAGAATCAGTACTCCGATGACACCAAAAAGACCTTTTTTAAGACAATTGATCCTCTTTTCATCTCTCTCTCGTTGCATGGCAAACACAACAACTGCGAATGAAAGATCTGAATTCTTGCGACAGATTTCCTTCAAACTGCTCCTATAGAGAGCAATATGCCTCCCAGTGGCTCTCCCGTGTTCAAGTAACAGTTGCGCGTGGATCGCCGCACTCTTCTTGATATGGGTGTCCAGCTCAATTTTCACGAGATTTTCCCGACAACCGACTGGTTTGAATGGACACGGGAAGGGGGCCAAGATGTACCCATTGTTGATGTGAAGGTGGAGTTTGCAACGTTTAAATGGTTGGTAACAGTGGGGGCACCGACAGGGGTAGTACGGACACTTGCCCAAGTGGCTGTTGACAATGTTGTTGTAGTTGCTCTGGATATAGCAGTGAGGACAGGAATAGCTACGTTTGGGACAGTCCGACTCTTGGTGTTGGGAGAGACTGGATCGCTTCATCGCTTCACCACACAAACTGCATGTAACGTTAACAAATAGACACCCTTTTGGTTTTGATTGGGGTTCAGGTGGCTGCCCAGCTGTCTCAGCTCCCCAGTCCACTGGCACCCTCTCTCTCCTTCGCCACACGACCTGTGGAGAGGGAGAAATAAGAAAGGTGGGAGAAGATTGGAGGTAAATAAAGATGGGAGTGAAATAGAAGAACGGTGGGAGGAAAAGAAGAAAGTTTGGGGCAAAATACGGAGGAAAGGAGAAAGCATCCCCTCTCTCCCTCGCTGCCGTGAATACCTGTGCACGCAGTAGACACGGAACCCGGCGAGAATGCGGTCGAATGTTCTGGTCCGTGAACACGCGGGGTGCGCGCGCCTTGCACATCGGACAGCAGTCGTTGTCTCTCAGGGCCCTCTGCAGACAACCGGTGCAGAAGACTCGGCCGCAGCACTCGACCTGGGAGGGCTGCCTCAGGACCAGCAGGCATATCGGACACTCCGTGTCGATATCTTCGCGAGGCGTCTCCCGACGAACACTCGTACCCCCACACGACACCGTACCACCGCAGCCATGGTTTTAACTACGCGCATGCGTAAAAACAATCATTTCAGGGGGTGCGTATCACTAAGTACGGTAGTACTTAGTATATAGGGATGGGCATGGTATGTATAATACTGTGTACTGTTTGTAAAGTACACACAATGGTTATTACTGGACCAGAGATGTACTTAGCAGTGGACAGTACTCATGAGAGGTATCCTTTATTCAGAGGTATCTCAATTTGTATACCTTAGCAAAAGTACGAGTGTCGTTTAGGTTCCATAGTATACTCCCATTCCATGATGTTTTGGACTAGTGTGTCACTTGTCTGATGCAGTTTTGCTGTTCCAATACAGAATGTATGTAAGGAACTGGACACAGTAGCCGAGCTGGTGAAAGACAATTCTGCCTATACCAGCAGTGAACTGAGGACAAAATGACTTCATTCACATACTGCATACAGTATGACTATAATTCCTAATGATTGTGAAAAGGGGCTTTTGCCAAACTGATGTTAGCATCATCTTGTTGCAGCTACTTGGTTGCCAAGGCTATTATCACTAGAATCAGTACCCCGATGACGAGAAAGAGAGCTAGTTGGATAGTCTGAAGACTATTGATCCTCTTTTCATCCGTGTCGTGTTGCACAGTAAACGCAGCAACCTTCGACGAAAGCTCTGAATTCTCTCGACAGATTTCCTCCAAACTGCTCCTATAGAGAGCAATATGCTCCCCATTGCCTCTCCCGGCCTCAAGTAACAGTTGCGCATGGATCGCCGCACTCTTCTTGGTATGGGTGGCCAGCTCAAGTCTCAGGAGATCTTCCTGACACCGACTGGTCTGAATGGACACGGGACGGGAGCCAAGATGCAGTCGTCGTCGATGTGAAGGTGGAGTTCACAGCGTTCGGTCATTAGGTCACAGTGGGGGCATGGACAGGGGTAGCACGGACACTCGTCCAAATGGCTGTTGACAATGTTGTCGTAGTTGCTCTGGATATAGCAGTGAGGACAGGAATAGCTTCGTTTGGGACAGTCTGACTCTTGGTGTTGGGAGAGACTGGATCGCTTCATCGCATCACCGCACAAACTGCATGTAACGTTAACAAATAGACAGCCTTCTTGGTTCTGATTGGGGTTCAGGTGGCTGTCCAGCTGTCCCAGCTCTCCAGTCCACTGGCACCCTCTCTCTCCTTCGCCACACGACCTGTGGAGAGGGGGAAATAAGCAAGGTGGGAGAAGATTGGAGGTAAATAAAGGTGGGAGTGAGATAGGGGGAGGAACAAGAAGAAAGTTTGGAGCGGGAAAGAAAAAAGAATCCTCTCTCTCCCTCGAATACCTGTGCACGCAGTAGACACGGAACCCGGCGAGAATGCGGCGAAAGTTCTGGTCCGTAAACGCGCGAGGTGCGCGCGCGTTGCACATCGGGCAGCGGTCGTCGCTGTCTCCCAGGGCCCTCTGCAGACAGCCGGTGCAGAAGACTCGGCCGCAGCACTCGACCTGGGAAGGCTGCTTCAGGACCAGCAGGCATATCGGACACTCCGTGTCAATACCTTCGGGAGGCGTCTCCACGAACGTGCACTCATACCCCTCGGCTTCTTCACCAGCGGCCATGGTTTTACTACGCGCATGCGCGAAAATAATTATTTTAGGGGTGTATAATTACAAACCGTGTATAAAGAACGATCGGTATAGAACAAAACACAAACATTGCTTAGAACAATGATCGGTATAGAAAAACTAACACAAACACTGCAACAACTGCAACTATAGCCAACAACACAAACTGTTGCAGACGTACGACTCTCTCTTTCACCAGCTTCAAATGGGTTACTTGTGAATTCACCATGTGATTCGCCATGTTCTTTCTCAGAATTTCACCTTCGCAGCCAAACAGCCCGTACTCACAGAGCGTGGGTACTTCGGGACAAGTTTGCGACACGTGAGAATTCATATCACTTTTCCTTATCCTGTTTCCGCAGAACTGGCAAGGGACGGGGATATGAGGACAAGTCTGCTTGTGTTCTCCGCTAACGTTAACGTACGTGTTCACATAGTTGCAATACGGGCATTTCGCCTTTCGTTGGGGACATATCGACTTTTCGTGTAGGTCGAGGCTCGAACGTGCCACTTTTTGTTGACAAAAGCTACACTTTACGGGGACAAAGGCACACCCAGTCATTCTATTGGTGTCAACAGGCTTGGAATTCAGGTGTTGTTCAACTCCCCCCAGTTGGCCTATCCACTCGCATCCACCGCCACCCTCCCGCCTATAACAACAATACACTCTGAAACCTTCCACGATCCGTTTGTGATTTATATCGGAAAACCCTACCGTAAGAGAATTCCTACACATTGGGCACTTTTTCGAGGTTCCCGAGATGTTTTTGAAGCAGGCGGCGCACATGAGGTTCCCGCAGCAGGTGACTTGGGAAGGATCGCGGAGGAGGGATTTGCAGACGGGACAGTCCGTCTGAATGTGGCCCGGCGGCTGCTCCACGAACGTGCAATCCTGGTATCCGAGATCTTCCCCGTCTCTTCTATTACCGTCTCCCACTCGTTTACGCAGCGTTGCCATGTCGGTTGCTTGCCAGATCTTCGTCCAAACTGAGCTTGATCGGCAGCTTACCGGCGGCTTTTTTCGTGGTGTGTCGAGTTGTTATTCTCTAGCCTGCCGGCCAGCGTAATTATGCGCTAGAGCGTGCGCGCGCACCTCATTTATGTACGAGTTTTGCGCATGCGGTATTATATACGCACGCGCGTTCACGATCGACAAAAAATGGCCGCCACAGCGGACGTCGTGGCTATGGATGAAGGAGAGACAGCGAGCCAAGAGACGGCCCAAGGTCAGCTCTACTACGACTATCAGAACCTCTATAAACTATTCTTCTACTCTAATGAGGCTAGCTTACCGCGAAAAACGGTTCTCGTTGAAAATTTCAACGAGGGCGGATAACCGCAGTTCTTTATGTCCGTGTGTTTGTCTTTCTCTCGCCAGCAGAGTCGCCCGCTAGTCCGTCAGTTGAACTACTAGGAACAGAGCTTGCAAGGATTCCCAAGAAATGGTACGAATTTGGGCAAAAGATGGGTCTGGAGACCACTCAACTCCACTTGATTGAGACCGAGAAAGGAAAAGAGGCGGAGTACTATTTCAGAGAGACTCTTGAGCTGTTGGCAGGGGAGGGGCGTGAGGGAGATGTGACGTGGGAGAGTGTAGTGAGGGCGGTGACAGATATTGGGGAGACAGAGCTGGCGGAACAACTGGCAACGAAATACGGTGAGCAGAGGGTTAAATTGAGAAGGGAGATGTGGAAGAGTTAAGAGATAGGGGAGAGAGAGAAGAGAAAGATTGAGAATTAACACATACTACAGATAATTATTAGTATTAGAGAAAGTTGCAACTCACAATGTATAGAGTAATAGTGTAGAGGAATTTCTATACCGTAGTGTACTCACTACCATGCTGCGTAGTTAGTATGTTTAACATTCTTAGGGAAACTTTATAATAACCTTTTAATAAAAACAGTCATCAGTTTCAGTTGACTATATGAGCATTGGATCATAACAAGTGTCCTTTATAGAGAGGTATCTATGTATAGTGGGTCTATTGTAATTTCAATTCAAATTCAAATTCAAATTCAAATTTATTCACTAACAGGAGTGGAGAGAGAGGAGACGGGAGAGGAGGCTGGAGAGGAGGGGGGAGAAGATGGAGGAAGTAAAGTCCCTGAACTCAAAGTTCAGAAAGAAGAAATCCGAGCTCTTCTGACCAAGAAACTCGAGAAAGGAGACACCTGGTGTGACAGTAATTTTAGGGAAAACAAGTGTATTTTTATACTGCATACCTGTACGTGTAATTAACCAATTTCTGGTGGAAAGTGTGTAACTGTGTTGTGTGCGTGTTAACAGAAGTAGTTTGCTGTTGTATGTGAGAATGTGTTGATAACAGAGTACTAGGAAGGCAAAGGCAAAGCAAACAGCTACATACACATAATACAGATTAACTGATGTATAGGTCACATGTAGGAAGTGTGCACCTGCGTGACTATATCATCACGTGACTGTCATGTGACCCCCAGGTACCTGATAGACGTGAGATGGATGAAGCAGTGGAAGAAGTACACTGGCTACGAAACGTGGGACCAATCGTACTCTGGGGAACAATCTTACTTCCCCGGACCTCTAGACACTTCCAACCTGTTTGCCGGTGGGTGTGGTCACGTGATCAGGTACTAATTAATCACGTGCTGTGGGTGTGGTCTCAGGGACCGAGTCGCACGCGCTGAAAGAGCATCTAATGGAGGAATTGGACTACAGTTTGGTACCGGAATCTGCCTGGAACAAACTGGTTGTGTGGTACGGGGTATCGGACACTTCACGACCGGTTGCCAGGTGACGAGATTGGCGAGATGCTAGTGTCACGCTATTCTCTTTCTACCTCTTCACTCTCTCTCCTTGTACATCTTCACATAGCTGTTGAGTTACGTTTATAAGAATGATGCAAAATTGCTACGAGATGTTGCGTGATAAATGAACAATTAACACATAGGCATTCTTCAAGGCTACTGACATGTTAAAAAGCCTTTCAGAAAAATAATCGCTCTCTCCTCTCTTCTCTATTCCCTGTCCCCCCTCTCCGCCATTAGGACAGTGGTGGAGTATGGTCTGTACATGAAGCACTGTAAGGTCGAAGTCTACCTACTGAACTTTAAACTCAGTCTCCATCCGAAGCTCTCTGAAACCGTCACCAAGTCTTTCAGTAGAGCTGACACTGTTGGTGAGTTGTAATGCTCTGGTATATGGCACAGGAGGACAGGCCAACTAACCTTACTGAATACCTTGACTATAGCTGGAGAGTGCAGTGAAAGAATAGGGTGGCCTAAATTGTTTGTACTTTTAGCAAGCAAGTGGAGGGAAGGACAGGCCAACTAACCTTACTGAATACCTTGACTATAGCTGGAGAGTGCAGTGCAATACCAACACCCCTCTCTCTCTCTCTCTCCACAGCTGAACTTGAGAAGGAACTCCGCCATACATTCAATGTGGAGGAGAAGACAGTGTGTAGAGTCTGGCACCGCTACATGTCACACACGTACGAACTCCTCAGTGACTCCAACCAGACCCTCCAGGACGCCGGACTGTACAACATGCAGGTTTGGGCTTACTTCAACATTCTGACCTCCATTTTGTTAAGTTTGTGCTCTCTGGTGTCAAGATTCTTTTGTAGCGAATTTGAAAAATGGTGTGGCTCTCAGTAGGAAACTGGCTTTAAGTGTTTCAATTCCAAATCCGGTCCATTAGTGTGTGTGTCTCTATTCCAGACCATTGTTTTCCATGTCTCCAGTCCATTCATTGTGTCTCTATTCCAAACCATTGTTTTCCATGTCTCTAGTCCATTCCTTGTGTCTCTATTCCAGACCATAGTTCTGGAGTGTCAGAAAGAGGACGGGAGTTGGCCCAGAGCCACCACCCAGGCATCGTACCAAGCAACTCATTCTACCAGGTCCCAGGACTCCATCACCGGGTCTACCTCGTCAAGGTGGGCGTGGCTTGGAGGCGTGGCCATCAGCTACATGCTGTAGATAGATAATTTAGAGTTACAGTTCACAATAGGCCATTACACATTCATGGGATCGGAAATGCATGTTTTGCTAAAATTTTACTTCTGCGAAACGCAGCTGCCAGTATGAAATATTCATGTGAACATTAAGTAATGAGTAAATCAAAAACGCTTAAATTTTTAACACCTGAAAAACAGCTACTGGTATGTAATTTTCGTGCTATGAGCATAAATGGTCTAATTACAGTGCTCAGAGTACTTCAAGCTATCGAAGTGGGGGAGGGGGCTCTTATTGGAGTGGCTCCTACTCCCAGCAACCAACTCATCCCGGACTCTGCGGTCTCAGTAATCTCGGTCAGTAATCTATCCGATATCTAGTAATCTATATATCCCGGTAAACTTCAGTAATCTCTCAGTAAACTCCAGTAATCTCTCTCTGCAGGTAACACGTGTTTCATGAACTCTGCTCTCCAGTGTCTGAGTAACACTGAACCTCTCACCGAATATTTCACTGGCGGAGCCTACAAGAAACACATCAACAAGGTTGTTTTTAATGCACACCTCAACTTCTTTACGTGAAAGTTTGTTAAGTGGGAGGGAAAGGTCTGTAGGATATAGGAAACACAAGAAAATGAACTGTTACACTCAATTTTGCCACCTAAGCATTCCATTGAAAGTGAAAGTGACAAAAGTGCTCTCTCCTATTGACTCCCGTCTCTCTCTCTCTTTCAGAAAAACCCACTAGGGATGCAGGGCCAGGTGGCAGAGACGTACGGGACTCTACTGGACGACATGTGGAGTGGCAACTCATGCAGCACCTGCTCCCCGCGACAGTTCAAGGTCTCATTCCCATACCAACCTGTCCTGTTTCTATTCCGTTCCACTTTACGTCCTCGTCACCCTTTTAAAGAGAATGTGTCAGTACACAAGGGCTTAATTTAGAAATGTTAGAACTAAACGGCCGAGTGTTAGAATGAAAAAACAGTTTCTAAATTAGCCTTCGTACATAATTATGCTGCCATAAGCTGAAACAAACTTTGCAGATGTAAGTTTTTGTAGGTAGCGTTATCTCCAAGCATGAACTGTCCCTCTTATTTGTGGTAATATCGTCATTACTGCCCCCTGCAGACGGTGGTAGGCAGATTTGCCCCTCAATTCTCAGGCTATCAGCAGCAGGACTCTCACGAGCTGCTGGCCTTTCTCCTCGACGGACTCCACGAGGACCTGAACCTCGTTCTCAAGAAACCGTACGTCGACATGTCCGTCAAGACTGAGGGCCGGGAGGAGAAGGTTCGTTTAGTGGGTGTGGTCTCTTTATCACACAGATCTTATGTTTGGTGGGTGTGGCCTCCTTATCACACGGATCTTTTAAGTTTGTTTGGTGGGTGTGGCCTCCTTATCACACAGATCTTATGTTTGGTGGGTGTGGCTCATTTTCTGTTATTCACACAGCCTTTGTGACAAAAACCTTTCACACGTGCAGTTTGTTGGTGTGGTGAAGTTTTCGTGGAAAAACAATTGCTAGTTCCCCCTATTTCTCTAATGTTAGGATATAGCGGAGGAGTCATGGTACAAGTACCTGCAGAGGAACCAGAGTGTTGTGGTGAAGGTCTTCCAGGGACAGCTGAAGTCAACACTCGTCTGCCCACAGTGCAGCATGGTACGAATGAGAGAGGATTTTTAGAGTAGCTCTCGCACCCTGCCAAATTTTTGAGGCACCTCAAAATTTTTTGTGAGGTAATCCTCAATCGGTAAAAAGGGAGAGAGTATTCCATACTCCAACTATAGTGCAAGCATTAGACCTAGTTGGTTTGTCTCTTCTTCCACTCACGTTCCTACAAAAAAGTGCAAAATCGTCGGGCCTTACTCGCCATCTTTTCCCCTAACAACAGCTCTCGAAGACGTTCGATCCATTCATGTACCTCTCCCTCCCACTCCCCGTCAAGAAGACAAGGAAAATGGAAGTCATTGTCGTATACGCCGACCCCAACAAACCTATGGTCAAGGTAAAAAAATATTAGTATCACATCTGATAGGCATTAAATTTTCCCCGGTAAATTTAGAACATATGGAAATTTGGTAGGCATTAAAAAAAATAAAGCTATTCTTCACAAACACTGGCAGAAATGCAAATTACCTTCATTATTACATCTTCGTAATATTCTCTTTACTCTCTCTCTCTCTTTTTCTAGTACTCACTGATAGTGCCTAAGAGAGGGACAATAAGTCACTTGAAAACTGAGGTATCAGAGCAAACCGAGATACCTGATGATATGGTCAGAAACATTACATCATTTGTTTACCTTTTTGTTTACTGTTTGTTGGTTTGTTTACAGATGGTGGTTGTTGACGTGTACAACAGTCGTTTCCATCGCGTCTATGACAACAAGGAAAACATCTCTCACATTCTTGACAGAGACGATATCTACGTGTTAGTTTAACCCTTTAGTTTAACCCCTTCTGCTCTACTTTTGTAGTTAACCCTTTCAGGTACGAGCTGAGTCATCAAGTAGGTGACAAGGATTGGGTTCATGTTCCGATATACCATCGCGAGCTTGTGTAAGCCTCCCACTTTCTTCTTTCCCCCTATCTCGCTCCAAACTTTCCTCTTCTCCCATCTTACTACCACCTTTCTTCTTTCCCCCTATCTCGCTCCAACCTATCGTATTTCCCCCATCATCGTCCCCCTCCCTTCCTCCTCAGGGTGAAGAAAGTCAACTATGGCTATTCATACACTCAGCGGTACCACAATTTGTTTGGTCTTCCAACCATCATCAGAGTGCCTCGCAACACCTCCACATATGACACTGTCTATCAGGCCGTACTCGCCAGGTGCAGGTATGTACATCTGGGATAGAGGTGTTTTTATTTGGGACGTCCCACTTTCAATTTGGGATGTTTAGTTATATCCACAGAAGGTTTGATATGCACTGTGGAATGACAGTGGACCCTCTCTCTAAGGACACCCCTGAAATGAGGACACCTCTCTAATAAGGACACCTTTTCTTTCCCAAAGAACAGTTCTTGCATGTAATTCAACCCCTGAATAAGGACACCTCATCTAATATGGACTTTCTTCTGTCCCATTGGTGTCTGGATTAGAGGAGTTCCACTGTATACTGCTCAGACACCTCACTAAGATGGACACTTTCTATCAAAATGTCCAACCCACTGGTGCTCGAGTTCCACTGTATAACGCTCGGGACCACCTCGCTATTATGGACAGCTTGTCTTTCCGTCCCATTGGTGTGGCTGGATATAGAGGCGTTCCACTGTAGTAAGTAAATGCTCAGGACACCAAATCACTCATATGAGACAGGACACTCTCTTCTAAGTCACATTGAGTGTCGTGATTAACGAGTAGTATCCATTCAATGATTCATAATGCTCAGGTACAAACCTCACTAAGACAGACACTTTCTTCCGTCCGCCAGTGTGCTGGCTAGTAGAGGAGTTCCACTGATAATGCTCAGATCCACCTCACTGAATACGGACAGGACACTTTCTTCCGTCCCTTGGAATCTAGTGTTCTGTCTTGATGAGAGAGTTCCACTGTATAGCTCAAGGACACTGCACTAATCATGAGACCACTAAAATTTATTCTGTCCACGCTTGGGTTTGCGTCTGGATTAGAGGAGTTCCACGTATCATCGCTCAGGACACAACTCACTAATACGGGACAGACCACTTTCTTCCGCCATTAGAGTGTCTGGATTAGAGAGAGTCTCACTGTAGAATGCTCGGGAGCACGCATCACTAATACGAGGGACGGGACAACTTAAACGTTCTTCCGTCCCTCTTGGTGTCCTGGAGTTAGCGGAGATTCCACTGTATAGAAATGCTCAGACGGACTCACTAACGGACAGACACTAAATATCTGTCCGTCCCATTGTGTGCATGTCTGGATGATGTAGAGAGTTCGCCCGTAGATACATTGCCTCAGGACACTCATCACGAATACGGACAGACACTTTATCATTCTCCGTCCCATTGGTGTCACCAAACTAGATATTTTGAGGAGTGTTCCACTGTAGTCCACTCAATGCCATGTGTATCCTCCACAGTAGAGAGGTATGATAATGTTCAGTGAAGAGAGCCCCAGAGAGGCTAGGCAGAGCGCGACTGAGAAGGTGGAGATGAAGGAGGAGACGATGGAAGAAAGAGACCGTAAAGGTAGAAGATGGGGAGGACCAGGCGGACGACTGAGAGGACAAGGAGGAGAAGACGCATGGGTGTGTGAAGAGATAGAGTACACAACACAGTGAAAATGGAGAGGAAGAAGAAATGCTTAATTACGCGTATTAAAGTACCTCTCAACATATCTTGTGTCTGTCCTCTTTAAACATTGACACGTCACGGCGATACCATTTCATTGCTGCCATTATTCCTTTTCTGCTCCATACACAAGGACATCCTCTCACATCTACTTTTACAGGCCAGAGAAGATGGCGACAACCACTCTAAACCAGAAAAACAGGTTTCCTCGGACAATGAACCAGATCCAAACAAGAAAAACTCGTCCGAGTTTCAAATGTTCAAATTGATGGTAGTCAACTCGTACGGAACTCAGGACATCAAGGAACTGCCTAGTGACGGGTCTCTTCTCAGACTAACCAGTGAGCTCTCTTCCTCTGTCTTGTACTGTGTTGTGTTGTAGATTCGAAGAGTTGCCCTTGTAGCTCAGTTGGTAGAGAGCTGAGTGCCTGTAGCTCAGTTGGTAGAGAGCTGAGTTTCCTGTAGCTCAGTTGGTAGAGAGCTGAGTTGCCCTGGTGGCTCAGTTGGTAGAGAGCTGAGTTGCCCTGGTGGCTCAGTTGTAGAGAGCTGAGTTGCCCTGGTAGCTCAGTTGGTAGAGAGCTGAGTTGCCCTGGTAGCTCAGTTGGTAGAGAGCTGAGTTGCCCTGGTAGCTCAGTTGGTAGAGAGCTGAGTTGCCCTGGTAGCTCAGTTGGTAGAGAGCTGAGTTGCCCTGGTAGCTCAGTTGATAGAGCGCTCGCCTAGACTGCAGTGTCGTGGGTTCGAATCCTACCCAGGACAGCTCTTCTTTTAAAAGAGCTGTCCTGGGTGTAGTTGACTCGTTTGCTGTGCCTTTGCCTCTCAATGTAATTCGTAGATGACACATATTATTATGATGTATGCACGTTTTGGAGAAGATTTTCATTTTGGTAGCCTTTCACTAATCCCAGATCAGACGTACATTGCCTGTGACTGGTCTACGGTGGTGAAAGACAAGTGCTACGATCTGGAGGCCGCCGTAAGTCACTCCCGCTAATCCCATTGGTTGTATTGGTGATGATGTAACGATGACATCGTCGCAGTTGGAGAAGGAGGATCGTAGTAAGTCTGAGGCACCTGAACCACCGAAGGAAATAACACTCGACAACTGTCTCGACCTCTTCACAGAGAAAGAAAAACTTGGTAAAACTCTCTAACAACGAACTGTGTGAGGTTCTATGTATCCACAAAAACAAACCCATTTCCCACCAATTTTAACCCTTTTCCCTCCCAATTTAACCCTTTTCCCACCTAATTTAACCCTTTTCCCTCCCAATTTAACCCGGTTCCCCTCCCAATTTAACCCTTTTCCCACCCAATTTAACCCTTTTCCCTCCCAATTTAACCCTTTCCCCATCCAATTTAACCCTTTTCCCACCTAATTTAACCCTTTTCCCCTCCAATTTAACCCTTTTCCCACCTAATTAAAACCCTTTTCACTCCCAATTTAACCCTTTTCCCACCCACCAGGTAAGGATGATGAGTGGTACTGTCCGGAGTGTGAGGAAATGGTTCAGGCAACGAAGAAATTCGACCTCTGGAAACTGCCTCGCGTCCTCGTCATACATCTCAAGAGATTCTCCTACAATCGGTGAATCTGATTGGTCAAAACCTTATCTAGTGGGTGTGGTTTATGTATATCTTATCACAGATATTGGAGAGACAAACTAGACACCTTCATTGAATTCCCTATCAAGTAAGCAACACCGTCCTAATGAATATTTTGTCTTATTCTCTGCAGTCGTAATGATACAGCTACTATTTTTGTCCTCCAAATCACAGAGGGTGTTATTAGACTTAAATAATGCTAATTTTACCGAATATCATCAGTCGTACTATTATTACTTGTCCTCCATAATTACAGGGGTCTGGATCTGAGGAAGTATATGAAGGCCCCCGACCAGCCTGAGTCAGTCTACGACCTGTTTGCCGTCTCGAACCATTTCGGAGGAATGGGTGGAGGACACTGTGCGTTGTTGTACTCTCAGAGATCGGCAGAGTAGTAAATCTATACCTTTTTGAATACTTAATGGATTTATGTTGGCAACAGCTTTTTCAAAACAAGTTGTATTTTTTCTACTTCATTGCCCTAGACACGGCCTATTGCAAGAACAAGTCGACCGGGAAGTGGTACAACTATGACGACAGCCACGTCTCCGAGGCCTCTGAAGACAGGATAGTGGTGAGTCACATGACCTCACATGATGTCATGTGTGGATCACATGACCTCACATGATGTGGCTCACATGATCTTTTCTACAGTCTCCCTCAGCCTACTTGTTATTCTACTGTCGTCGTGACGAGGGGAAAGTTGTCTGCCCACCTCTCAGTCGAACACTCAGTCAGACATTTCGCGAAGAGGTTCGTAACTTACTAATGGTGCTTTAGCTGAGGTGCCTCCTTTCACAAGTAGGGACAGTATCTTTGTTCTATTGATTAATAGGCAAATACGATCAGACAAAAGTG